ATACAAACCCTTAAATGAAGGAGAGCTTTAAGTAAAATATCTCAAATTCTCAAAGAAAACAACCTCCAACCAAGATTGATATATCCTGCAAAACCATCTTTCAAAATCAGTGGAAAAATAAGACACTTCCAAGACAAGTACAACTGAAGAAATTCTTGACCACCAAGCCAGAACACCAAAATATTATGAAGGATATTCTATAAAAAGAGAAGCCTACATTTTCACTAACCCAAATAGAAAGAATCCACTAGGCAAGGCAAGCAATAAATCAAAAAGGGAAAGACAGGGAAAACAAAAGGAAAATGATATCATAAGGATAAGTGAATATAAGATATAACCATTAATGTAAATGATCTCAACTCACCAATCAAAAGAAACAGACTGGCAGAATAGAACAAGAAAATATCCAACAATGTGTTACATGCAAGAAATACATTTAACTTTAAAAAAGTCACAGACTGAAGGTCAAGAGATAGAAAACAATACTTCATGTGACAAGAACATGGAAAAAACAGGTAGCAATAGTATTTACAGATAAAGTTAACTTTAAGCCAAAACTGATCAAGAGAAACAAACAATGTCACTATAGTTGTTAAAGTAAAACTCTGAGAGGAAGAGACTTTATTCATAAATAAATGTGCACAAAACACTGGTGCACCCAACTATATGAAACATATATTAACAGACATAAAAGACCAAAGCAGCACTAACACAATTGTAATGGGGGACCTCAATACCCTACTGCCACAAACAGATTAACTAGACAAATAAAAAATATATAGGAACTAAACCAAACTAGTGAACAAATGGACTCTGCAGACCTACAAAGATCAGTGTATTCTGACATGGTTCTACTACACAATCTCAGAACATGCATTCTTTTTAGCTGCTCATTGGAAATTCTCCAAAATAGACCACATAGTAGCTCACAGAACATGCTTAAGTAAATGTAAAGAAACTGAAATTATCCCATGCATATATTATCAGACCATAGTGCAGCGAAATAGGAAATAAATGCCAAAAGAAACCACAAAACTACATAAATGTACAAATTAACAATACCCTGGCTCACAGATGATATTTAAGAAATTATAGACCTTCTATTATTAAATGATAATGTTAATAAAACATGACACAACTTATGAAATGAAATGAAAGCACTCATTTGAGAAAAAGTTCTACTGATGAATACCTACATTAGTAAAACAGAGTAAGTTCAAATAAACCATCTACTGTTGAACCTCAAACTTCTAGAGAAAGAATAAGTGAAGCACAAAGCTTGCATAAGAGAGGATATTATAAAGATCAGAGCAAATATTAATGCAATTGAGACTAAAAAACAATACAAAGAATCAATGAATTGAAAAATTGGTTATTTGAAAGAATAAATAACATTGAGGGCTGGGGCTTAGCTCAGTGGCACAAGCAGTTGCCTTCCAAACACAAATTCCTGAGTTTGATCCTTGGTACCCAAAAAATTAAAATAAATAAATAAATAAATAAACAAATAAACAATACTGTAAACCTAGAGCCAACCTTATCAAAAAATGAAAAACTCAAATTCATGCAAATAAGAATGAAAAGATCTGCAGATACCCACAGGATCATCAATATTTATTTTGAGATAGAAAAGACAAAAAAAATGGTTGGATTTGTAGATTCGTAAGAATTATCAAAGTTGAATCAAGAAGTTATAAAATAAATAACCTAGTATCAGTCAGTGAAAATGTAATTAAAACCTACCACCACCAACAAAAAAGACAGGCCCTGAGGGATTCACTGAGAAATTGTACACAAAAATTACAGAAGACCTAATGCTACTACTTCTCAAATTAATTAATAAAATTGAAAGGGAAAAATATTCCCACAGTCATTCCTGGAAGCAAGTATTACTCTGATACCAAAACCAGAGAAGGATCCAACCAGAAAAGACAATTGTCTAATGAGATGCAAAAATTCTCAATAAGATACTGGCAAACAGAATGCAGCAAATCATCAAGAAGATTATACAGCATGAATAAGTATGATTCGTCCCAGAGATACAGAGATGGTTCAGTGTACACAAATCAATTAATGTAATACACCATATTAACAAAGGCAAGAAAAAAAAACTATAGGACCATCTCAATATATGCAGGAAAGCATTTGACAAACTTTAACACACATTTATGATTTAAAAAAAAACTCTTCAGATAATTTGAATAGATTTTATCTTAATCTGATAAGTCATCTATGAAAAATCAATTAGCCATCATGCTACTAAATGGTAAAAACTGAAAACATTTACTCTAAATCAGAAAGACAGAGATATCCACTGTAACCTCTTTTATTTAATATTCTTCTGGAAATATCAGCAAGAGTAATTAGACAAGAGAAAGAAATAAAAAGAATAAGAATAGGAAAAGAAGAAGTTAAATTATCATCATTTACAGATGACATGATACTCTGCATAGAAGACTCCAAAATCTTCACCAAAACACTCCTAGATTTAATGACTAAATTCAGAAGCATAGATGGATATAAAGTTAGCACTCAAAAATCAAAAGCATTCCTGTACCAAAATAAAAAATGCACTGAGAGAGAAATTAGGAAAATAGCAACTTTCACAGTAGCATCCACAAAAATGAAAAATATCAATTGAAAGCAGGAAGGAAAAGACCTTTACTTTGGAAATGATATTATTCTGAAAAAGGACATCAAAGAGGTTATCAAAAATGGAAAGATATCTTTTATCCTTGTATAGTAAGAAACAATATACTAAAACATCATACTCTCAAAATTGTTATACAGATTTAATGCAATTCTGATCAAAATGCCAATAGCATACCCCAGAGAATTAAAGAAAACACCACTGAAATTTATTTGGAACCAGAAGAGATCTATAATAGCAAAAAAATTTTGTGCAACAGAGGCAAGGCAGGGGCATCACAATTTTAGATGTGAAATTATACTACAAAGCTACTGTGATAAAAATAAAAAAGGTACTAGGCAAAAACAGATCTAAGGATCAATAGAACAAATAGAAGATTCAGAAACAACTGTAAACATATTCAGGCACCTTGCCTTTGCAAAGGGTAAAACACTTTCACTAAAAGAAACAATCCCTTTAATAAATTGTGCTGAATAACTGGCTTTCCACATACTAAAGACTTTACTAGACTCATGTTTCTTACCATGCACTCAAATAAAATCAAAATGGATCAAAGTTCTAAATATTAAAACAGGAGCATTAAATCTGCTCTAAGAATAAGGTAGAAGTCTTGAAAACACTGATGTGGGCAAAGAATTTATAAACAAAACTCTGATCACACAGGAAATGTTACAGAACAACTAGGATGTCATCTCATTAAAAAGCTTTTTTCATAGCAAAGGAAATCACCAACAGAGTGAAAAAAATCCACAGTGTTAGAAAAAATTTTGCCAGATCTTCCTCAGATAAAGGACTAATTATCTTGAAATTATGAAGAACTCAAAAAGTTAGACCATACCAAATTTAATTAAAGACCAGATCTGAAAATGAGCATGTAAAATGCATATTATTCTCAGATAAAGTAACACACATGGCAAAAAAATTTATGAAAACCTGTTCAACATCATCAGTCATATGAGAAATGCCATTTACAACAATCCCGAGATTCCATCTCACTCTAGAAGGAATGGTTATCACCAAGAAATCAACCAATAATAAATGCTGGTGGAAATGTGCAGAAAAAGGAACCCTTTTCCACTGTTGGTGGGAGTACAGACTGGTACAACCACTGTGGAAGTTCATGTGAAGATTCCTTAAAGAAATAAAACTAGAGATTCCATTTGACTCAGTTATGCCCCTTCTTGGTGTCTTCCTGAAAGAAGGAAAAGCATCATACCATAGCAATATACACATATCCATGTTTATAGCCACACGGTTTATAATAGCTAAATCTTAGAAATGGCTCAAATACCCATCACCAGATGGATAAAAATGTGTATTTTTTAATACAATGGGGTACTACTCAGATATAAATAAAGATAAACTTGAGACATCTTTTAGGTAAATGGGTATACTTTGAGACTATACTGTCAAGTGAAATAAACACATGTGTAAAAATCACATTGTCTGTTGTGAGGAACCAAAAGTGTAAATAAGGAATATATAATAGATATACTAAAATAGGAAGAAAATTTTCAAATGGGAAGGGGAACTAGGGAAGGAGGAGGGGGAAAGAAAGAAAAGGAAATCAGGAAAAAATGGAAACAAAGCTTTTATAAATAAAAACGGGGAAAGACGTTAAAGGGAGGGAAGGGGAAATGGGAAAAAAAGATCTGGTCCAAATTCCCTATTAAGAATTTGATAAAATATATCAATAAAATTAATTTTTAAAAAGTACACACCCAACAAAGTGAGCGCAAGACCACCCTGAACCGCATAGTGAGACCCTGTCTTAAAAAGACAAAAAATAAATAAATAAATAAAAATAAAAAATTGCAGCCCAATAGCTTTCATACACATATACTCTTTCCATCTTCACTTTATAATCCATTCTCCACTGCCTTCTGTAACAAGACCTAAGATAGTTTCCCTGTCATTTATTGGCACTACAGTAAGTAAAGATTTTAAGAGGTATAACAAACCTGGAGGCCTTCCTAAAAAGGAGGCAAGACAGATGTTGACACTTCAGGAGTTTGGAGACCAAAGTAAGGAACCTTGAGGTCCCAAGCCAAGTAATTGTATGGCCATCAAATGATCAATACAGAGCCCATAATCACACTAGAAAAGTTGACTTGGAGCTGCAGAAAGGAGACAGTCTATTAAGTGAGGTAGTCCTATAGTTAGGTTATATCCCTTTTGTGAGCTCGGTCCCTGTTGTTAAGATGGGGATAGTCATGCCCTTCTATTCAATACAATTTAAGTGAGAATGAAATCAGAGGAAGGGTAGAAAGGCAGTCTATAAAGTAGAAATTAAAGTGAAATATCTTACAGTCACCCATCCATACCACAAAGAAAGGTTGAGTCACAATGATGTCTTTCTAAATTTTATTGGCACTGAAATATAAAATGGATTGAGCATAAACCTCTCCAAAAACAATTTTTTAAAAACTCAAGAATACACCAAAAGATATGAATATAAAATCTAATCTTTCTCCCCAGCCTCCCAGGTGGAGGCTCACTGCCTTACTTAAAGCATCTTAAATTGTGCCACAATTCCAGGGTTTAATTTAGACAATATAGGTCATAAACGAGTGTCAAAATAATTTACAACAATGCACACAACACCCCCCAAGTCTAGGAGGAGGAGTCCAGAGAGGCATTGGGCTGGGGCACTGCATTCCCTTGGGGAATGAATCTTGGGGAGAAAGCAAATAGGAACAATAACAACAAATGCCAATTTGTTAAGAATAGATTGTATGACCTATAGTGACAGGTAACAGTAATACTGAAAGCGTCTTACATTAAATTTCTGGCAAAATATCCTTTTATATTATAGTATATGATTCCCAGGTGTAGGGGCAGTAAAGGATAGGCCAGAATGATCCCACCCCAAGACTAGTATCTTCTAATTGTGTATTAGCAAGAAAGGTAGAAATCAATACTGAGTTAGATATCACTAGAATATATAATACTGGTAGAAAAAGTGTATACATGAGGTGGAAAGGAGAAGGAAGGCTACTCCTGGATAGAGGGCAAAGCATGGGAGTGCATAAGGGACCAGGTCAAAATCCCCAGCAGCTCTATGTTACATAGGACATGGGACCACATAATTTATGAGAAAACCTAGGTTAGAGGTTTGTGAGAGGCACAGCCCAGGAACCACTTTGGACAGAGGTGATAGGGAAGAACTATTAGGCACCTGAGAAGGTTAAGTAAACTGTAGGATTAGAAGCATGGGCTTCTTTACCATATGTATGTTCTTCTGTCCAATCCTTTATTGAGCCTACTGGCATCAGGATCTAGGGCTCACCATACTAAGGCCAAGGAGCTGTGAAGCAGAAGCTGTGGGCCAACTAGTTCTGATGAGGGATGTGCCTTAGATTGGTAGGGAAAATACTGACACAAAGTGTGAACATTTATTTTGGCAAGAGCTATATATGGGGCCGGTTGAGCTTTTGAGTATTCATTCCTACTGTTCTAGCTGGAGGGAATTTAGGGATTGAGGGGGGCAGGGAAACATCCAGAAAAAAACTTGGGACCTGGAATAACATGGTATATCTCTGCCCAAAGAGTTGACTTAATTGAAGCTCGGTCTCCCATAAGGCATCGGGGCAGGGTCTTTTACCCATTTTTACCTGAACAAAAGGATCAAAGGCCTTGTAAGATGTGAAGCCTCTTGAAGGCACTGTCTTCGTATACTACTCTAGGGAGAAACTTAGTTCCTGAACTCAGAGCAAAGGTATATTAGAACTGAGTTTGTAACAGTCCATATCTGGGAGGCAGAAACAATAATGACTATTGTCCCAGCATTAGAAAGTCTCTAAAGGAATGGGCTCTGGGATGCCAAATTCTAGGTCAGTTGACTCTTTCAGGGCCCTACCTCTTTTTTTAAACCCTGTAATCCATCCCTGAAAAAAATCATATGACATGAAAGAGGAAGACAATGGTGGTCTAAGAAAGTAGGGATAGATTTCAACCTCCTCTACAGTTAACTCTCATTGGGCAGCAGTTAAGTGCGGAAGTTTTTGCCTAATCAAATGGAAAATGCCTCTGAGCTGGGGAGGTAAACTATTCTAGCAAGCTAGATTAAATGGGTTAGAGAGGGGGAAAGGGTCTCATTGGCACTACAATAGACCTTTTTTTCTGCCCAAGGAATTGAGTAGGGTAATGGGCAAGGTTTGGTTCCATGGCTGCAATAAATGCTTGGCATGACTCCAGAGTTGCTCTAGTTAGTGGCTCCAGGACAGTGTGAGTTAGACAAGAGTGTATAAGGAAGAATAAAGGAGGGGTCCCTAGAGGCTGGGTGTTCATTACATGATTACATGGACTCAAATTCATCAATGCGCTGCTTGGTGTTGCCCTGCCGAATCTGACGCAGGGTCTTGTATTTATCTCGGCCCAGTCGCATGTTCTCTGCATGGATCATGTCATTGGCAGTCTTCTTGGATTCATCACGGGCATTGGCTAGTTCTGAAGTAAGGGCCTATGAAGATACAAGTAGATACAGGGATCAATAAATTCCTCTCATTTTAGCTGTACTTAATTTGATCAGATTACTCTTGTTTTCTCCCTCTGTCTTTAATAAATCTATTATATAGCTGTATCTACATCTATATGTATATCATCAGTCTATCTGTCCATATACCATCTATCTGGAGGGAGGCAAAGTGGAAGAGAGAGAAAAACCAGTCTTGTTAGGACTGCTGTGGGGCCAAAAACCAAAAAACAAACAAACAAAAAAATTCAAACCCAGAAGACTACTTGACAATGGGTTTTCCTGAGAGAAAATCCCAACAAGTAAAGTAGTAGTAAACTGGGATATGATTAAAAAGTGAGAGGTGGCCACTTTAAAGTTTCACTCGAAATAGGCTTAGACCTCCATGCAGCACCCGGACAGTTTCCTATAACTACTCCCCCATTGTGGCCTAGGGAATGTTATGGTCATAATCTCCTTGACCCTTTGCTGCTGCTTGGATACCTTCAGGTGCTTCTGCACTCGCTCATTCTTCTCTGCCTCAGTGGTACGTTCTTCTTCACTGCGGTCCTTGGCCATAGCATCAGCTCTCAGGTCAGCACTGGCCTCTGCCCCATTTTCATCTTGTTCATCCTGCTCATTCTCTGCAGGCTCGGCCACATGAGGTGTACTCATGGCAGTCTTCAACTCAGCACGGGTCTTCTCCAAGTCTTCCTGTACCATCTGTGCCTGTCCAGCATCAGAAAGACAGACCAAGAGTTAGACCAAGTAACCTGTGGCAATCTACGCACGCCACAAATAGTTTGGTTGTATGCACATGCCAAATGGGTCAAAAATATCAACTGCCTGATTCCTAGTATCTACAGCTACAAAACAGAAGCATTTATATCAACTTCCTCAGGAGTACTGGGGAATTTTGGCAAGTATTTGAGAAACATTGAGCATCTTCTTCTACCATGTCAGCTGTACAGAAAAGGTGGGAGGTAGAAAGAGATCAAACTTAAGGAAACTAAGGAGCTGAAATGTATGCATGTAGCTTATTTTCCCATAGTACTTTGTTCTTGTGCCTTGGCTTACCTTCTGTTGCCACTCCACAGCCTCACTTTCCTTCTTCTGCCGTGCCATCTCTAGCTGAGAGATCCGAGCTGTCAGCTCTGCCATTTCTGAAGCCTAGAGATAAATGAGAAGCCTGTGAGGGTAGGGTATTCTGCTCCTCAGGCCCAGTTGTTTTCAACCCCAATTCCTCTAAAGAACCAATTGGAAAATTGCTAGTTCACTTGTTTGCTGCATTGGCAGGTCTTTTAACCACTATCACTCCATTTCCCTGCTATCTTCCTTACCTAGAACTTCCTTAATAAATCATAGCTCCTCTCGTAGACTTGTAGGCATTGCAAAAACTATAAAATGTGCTTTCTGTATCTTCCTCATGTTTGTCCCACTTCCTCCCTCCCTTTCCTTCTTCTCTTGTCATGTGTGCATGCAGTTAGGCCTACATAAAGCTCTGGAGGTGACTGAAGTGCCAACTCTTCTCTGCTATCCTGAGATGCACAGGTCTCTGCTAAGATTCTTTCCAGGACAAGTAATGGAAAGAACTCAAATGTCACCAGGTGACCTGAACAAGGGAAAAATGCTTACACACATCTTTATACCTTTAGCATGTTTCACAAAATAGCTTCTTTTGTGTTAGATTTCAGTTCCCCCAATTCCCACTTCAAATAGTACAAAGGTAGAGGATATGTTAAGGAATTTAGACCACAGATTAACTTCTGAGTCACAGAAACCTTGGAAATTGTGGTTATGATATGGACACCCGTCCTCCTCCCCTTGCCAATAATGTGTGGACACACAGTTTTACATGTGGTTTCAAGGCACAGACCCTTCACTCCAAGGCAGAAGTGGGTTCTAATCCTTGTTTATCTACAATTATGTGGCCTTTGGCAAGTTTCTTAACCTCACTAATACTTAATTTCCTTATCTGGAAATATTGTTATATGGGGACTAATCCAATAGGGTTGCTGGTAAAAAACAAAGAAGGAAAAGGGAAGCATGGCTAGCATACTAACACACAGCAGCTACTAATTAAGCATGAGTTCCTTCACTCTTCATTCCTTTTCCTTTGTCAGGTTACCAGCTCAGATCTCCAGTGGTTAAGAAAATAAATAAAGCCAGGCATGGTGGTACACACCTGTAGCCTGTAATCCCAATACTCAGGAGATTGAGACAGGAGGACTGCCATGAGTTTGAGGCCAACCCAAGGTACATAGTGAGTTCAAGCCAGCCTGAACTAAATAGCGAGACCCTGTCTTAAAAAAAGAAAAAAAGAGAGAAAGAAAGAAAGAAAGAAAGAAAGAAAGAAAGAAAGAAAGAAAGAAAGAGAAAAGAAAAGAAAAGAAAAGAAAAGAAAAGAAAAGAAAAGAAAAGAAAAGAAAGATTGTTTGCAAAGGTTTATGGGCCATACCAGTGACCCCTCGGCTTGCCTCTGAATGAGCTATTAAGAGCTTATAGAATGGAAACCTGCTAGAAAGAGTTAACCCTTCAGGCTGAAGTAGCTATAAACAGGCAAGCAGAAAAAAGAGAAAACACAGTCCCACCCACAATCTTTGCCCATTGTGCAGTTTTACCAGTTGTTCTTGGGTCTTCTTCTGGTCCCGGGAGGCCTGCAGCAAAGCCTCCTTAGCCTCTTCAGCTTCTTGACGTTCCTTGGCCAGCTTTTCAGCCTCACTCTGGGCACGCTTCCGTTCCTGCTCAAGTTCCAGGGCTCTGCGTGTCTGTTCTTCCAGTTCTAGGTAGAAAAGGAAGGGAGAGGCAGTGAAGGTTACAGGGATGAAGATGGTACACTATCTTCCTTCCTGGAAATGCTCCACCCCACAATTGGCATAAAGTTCTCAGAATTCTTCCTTTCCCATTCATCTAGTCTGTGCCCATACCTGTACTATGTCATCTGAATCTATAGCTCATATAGAAAGGTCTCTATCTCACACAGTCAAAATCTAGGGAAACTCATTTGCTATGGTAACTTCAAGTCTCACCTTGTTGAGCTTTCTTAGTCTGTTCCTCAATCTGCTTTAGCTTCTCCATCAGTTCTTCTTTCTCCCGTTCAATCTTTTCTTTCTCCTTTTCTGCCATCTCACGCTTCTTCTTCTCATTTTCCAGTAGGGCACTAGGAAAAGGAGAAGGACAGATGTAAAAAGTAACAAAGCTACATAGAAATTTGGGAATTCCTAGGCTCCCCACAGCCCCCACTCTTCCAGGGCACCCAGAGTTTGTGTGTTTGGACAACTTTCCCCCACATCCTTGCCTACATATCACAGCCTCACATAGGGTGGTATGCTCATGGCCTAGGCAGTTTGCCTCTGAGTCAGGAAATGCAGTCTGGAGTTCCTGATCTATAAGTAACCCACTAAGTCACCCTACCTATGCTGCTGCTTTGCTCCTATTCTCTGTTCGCCTCTCTGTAAAATGGCCTATATGTCCTATTCTGTCTGCTTTGTAGAGTTATTGCTCCATAGGAGAACAGTATGCTTCAGGCTAGATGTCCCTCTAACTAGGTCTAACTTTACCTATGCTAAAGCCTGGTTGTAGGCTCCTTTCCCCAAGACTGCATTGTAAATCTAGAATAAATATTTTCTTTATCTTGCTCTAGCATCCCCTTCCAGAAAGACTTCATATCCCTTGACTAGATGATCTTTCTCCCTTTGAGCCCTCAACATATTGTGTATATTCCTTTTTCCATCCCTATTTCCTGTTATTTTTCTCCATAGCACTTTTTACCGTACCAATACTATGTAATTTATTTATGTTTGTCTCCTCCAACTAGAACAGGAACTTTTGGTCTTTTTTCATCACTCACTCAACAAATATTTAAGTGAATAAATGGAACAGTCTTTGTACCTTGAGATACATATACATATATATATATATATATATATATATAGTAGAGAGAGAGAGTATGTATATATTTATATATAGTATATATATATATATATATATATATATATATAGAGAGAGAGAGAGAGAGAGAGAGAGAGACTATTTTTCTACTGTTTCTTAATAGATCATTAGAAGGCTGTTTCTGCTCTGTAAATTGACCCCAATCTTGATAATTTTTTTCTAAATAAAAGTCAACCTTAGTAACATATTATAGCATGTATGGCTGAAAAATATTCTGCTGTGGTTTTGATGTGGTTTGTCCCGCTAAGGTTCATGTATTAGAGGCTCACTCCACAATGTAGCAGTATTGAGAAGTGGTGAAAACTTCACAAGATGGGGTCTAGTGAGAGATGATTACATCATTAAGGGAACAAGACTCAAAAGTGAGTGGTTTGGGTTTCAGAACTGCATTCGTATTTGTGAAAGTATGTTATTGTAAGTAATTCTGGCATCTCCCCTGAATCCTTCTTCCTCACGTACTACTCTGTTCTTGTATGTGCTTCTGCTATACAATGATTCCCCTCTGTCATGTTATAATATACTGGAAATCTCTCACCAGATGTGAGTGCCTGATCTTAGACTTCTCAGCCTCTAAAACCATGAGCCAAAATAAACCTTTTCTACTTATAAAGTATCCACTCTCAGGAATTCTCTTCTGTCAATACAAAATAGACTAAGATATATTCTGTTACATGTATTTACAATTTGTTTATCTATTTATCCATTGATAAACCTTTATCCATTGATAAACTATTCCTAAGAAACCTCCTATAAATATGTATATATATATTTGCTTGAACATCCATTTTCAACTACTTGGAGGTACTTAAGTAGGAGTAGGATTCGAGGATTACACTGTAATTCTGGGTTTAAGAACTGTCACACAGCTTTCAACCCTTTTACATCCTCACTACCATGTATGTGGATTATGATTTCTTCACAGTCTCATTATTATCTTGTTCTATTTTTGTGTCTACAGAACTTATTTCCAGTTTTATTTTTTGTGTCTACATTACAAGGTATGAAGTAGTACCTCTTTGTTGTTTTCCTTTGCATTTACCTAATGACAAAGGATATTTATATGTCTGTTGGCCATCTGCATATTTCCTTGAAGAAATGATTACCTGGATCTTAAGATACAGATTTTGATCACTAGTCTGGAGCTGGGTCTTAGATCTTCCGTTTCTAACAAGTTCCCAAGTTGATGATAATGATGCTGAGCCTCAGATTACACTGAGTAGAAAGATGCTATACAACAAATACTATGGCCTTATAGAGAAAATTCCTGGGGGTTTGTTCATTTCTGCTCACATAACTCTACAGAACAGTCTTAAACATGCATAGAGCTTTCCACAACTGCTACTATACTAGTCAGCCTGGAGCAATGTCTAGCATATCAATGGCTTGAGGTTCACAGACAATGGGGAACTATGAAATGCCCCTCCATCCTATATGCTTCTGATAGCTGCTTCCTAAGAACAAGGATATTTACACCTGAGAATGAATGCAGGGGGTATCATCCTTGCAGCTCTCTCACTCCCAGTCCTAGGTTGACTTCACATCCTGCCTTGGAAGGTTCAGAAACTTTGAGCAGCTCCCTTCCCCAGCACAAGCCCTCATCCAGGCTCCCACTCCTGCTCCATAGCACCTACCGCTCCATCTGCTTCTGGTGCTTCTCCTCCCGAGCCTGTGCTTTCATCTGCTGCACTTCAATGGTATCAGGCTTGCGGCGGCGCATATATAGCTCATGGTTCCCCATGCACAGGGCTAAGATTCGCTTATTAATCCTCAGCCGAGGAGCATAAAAGACAAAGTCCTGGTGGGAAAACAGCAGTTTAAAAAGAGTTTGGAAGAACACACAAAGGAGAAATTCTATTTTATGAAAACCTAAATCCAGAAGTATTGGGATGATTGTTTATCCAATCCTTTCCATCAAGGTAGGAAACTAATTATCAGACTGGTGAAATGATTTGCCCAGAGTCAGATGGCCAGGTTAGTGGTACACAAAAACTATAATTCTGATTTCTTAACTCTGCAATCAGTACAGTCCATCAAACCATAATTCCTTTCAACCATTACTTACAAAAAGCATTCTAAAATACCCTTAACTCAAATGAAAAATCAGAGCTGTCTTTTTCTACTAATTAGATATGATATTGATCTTTAGAGGGCCTCTTTTATAAGTCACACAATCTTTGCACACTACCCTATTGGGTACAATATAGGTGACTGAACTGTTGGTGTAATCTTCAAAAATCATGTCCTTGACTCAGACCTTTAAATGCTTATTACAACAAGGAATATTATAAATACACTCATAAATACATATATTTCGTAAACATTGATTTTACTGGTTATTGTTTGTTAAATGAGCCCTTTATCTCAGCTTGCTGTTACTTACCTTTTTCTGATGAAAGTTGAGCATAGCAGCAATAAAAAACACACAAGAAAATCCAGTGAGTTGAGTTATTTACTACCAATACCACTGGACCAAGATCATCAGTTAATGGGTTAACCACTACTTCTTCTGTCAAAGCCAAACTGCTATCATTTCATACAGCTTGGAGTACAATCGAAAGAACACAGGCTCTTAAGGTCAAATGACCCAGGCATACTGCTTTTAGTTATGTGATCTTAGGCAAATCACTACATCCCTCTGAATATTAATTTCAACATTTTAATGCATATACCCACATAATGAAGTTATTGAGCATTTAAAGAGACAATACATAAAAACTACCTATTAAAGGAAGTGCAGACATCTTTGGGCTAGAGAAGAAGGTTGAGCCCTCATGAAAGGGGTCAGGCTCAACAAGGCCACTGGCCCTTGTTGGACACAAGGTATACCAGAAGAGTAGACCTTCATGTGAGTTTCTATCTTACCCTCTATCACCAGCTTTCTAGTCTTGTTAGCAATAGGCAACAAAGTAGGTAAGAAGGGTTGTGAACACATTAAAGTAAGATCTGGACTCAATGTATTTTCTTAATCTTAGATTGCTCTAGAAGGAAGTCTGAGAAGGCACCCATAAAGTTCTACCAAAAAGCAAATTTAGAAGATAATCTTTGGATTTGGGCTTATTTTTGCTCTCTCCTTTTATCCTAACTAAAGATAAAATGTATGTGAATATAATCTACTTTCTAGGACTGAAGGGCTAAGAAAGATGAGATATACTCTGTTTGGAGTACAGTCTCAGAGTAGCAGAACACAATTGGTAAGATGTGGCATTTAGGACAGCCTGTGACTCTCTTACTGAGAGAGAAAGACAGAGAGAGAGAGACAGACAGACAGAAACAGAGAGACAGAAAGAGAGGTGTCAGGGTGCCATTGAGACACAGATAGTAGAACAGCATCAGGTACAGAATGATTCATAGCCAATTCTTAGCACTGATATTTCCTTCCACATCAATATACATTTATAATTCCTGTACATGTGTGTATACACATGTACACACACACACACAACTTCAGAATAACAAAGACAAATATAATGGCATGATCATGCTTAGAAAAATATTGGCCTTAGTGACTACTTGTCATTATCAAATGGAGAAGTCACTCACCGGGGATTTTTTGTCAATAGGCTTGATGACAAATTTCTTGTCATTGAAAGAGATGTTCCTGATTTCACTCCAGGGGAAGCCAATCTTGGGAGTCAGTCTGTAGCAGTGGAGATTAAGAGCATCAGCACAAAGGCAAGATAAGAAAAGCATAGAGAGTTAGTGCCTTGAACTCAACCTTGGCCTCCCCCAAAAAAACCTTCTTTCTTGAGGACATAGATCCATTACCAGTGTCATAACACGCTACCAGATCAATTGCCAGGATTAATGTTGAGTAAAGGACTTCTTGATACTACAACCAACATACTATTCTTTGTTTAATTTTTGAGATTTTTTTTCCACTTTGGTAGAGGAATGGACCTTGTAAAAGTCCTTTAAGAGCATCACTAGCCCTATTTTACAGAGACTCTTCTGAAGTTATAAAAAAGTAGAGAGAAGATAAATACTGAATTCCAAGGTTCAGAAGTTATAAAGAATAATATCCATCTTTATCCTCACCAACAGTAGAGTAAGTGGTTTAAGGAATATTCAAGTAAGATGAGGCCACACAAGAGAATTATAGGCCAAAAGGCACTTAATCATCACATGGGATTTAGAACCATTTACAAATCCTGACAAGGTAGATTACAGGCCAGAACTGTCTTTTAAAAATCATAGTATATATAACTGTCACATTTTAAGTTCTCTAGTTAGTCACATGAACATGAGTAAAGAAAAAAATAAACAGGAGGAATTAATTACAGTACAGTTTAATTAACTCAGTATACCCCAAATACTATAATTTAAATACATAAATCAGTACTTTAAAAATATTGAGGCATTCTACATTTTATTTTTTCACATTAAGTCTTCAAAATCTAATGTGCAGTTTATGTTTATATGTAGTATGTCTCAATTCAGAGTACCTACATTTTAATCGTTCACCAACCACATGTGGCTCATGGACAACATAGTAGACAGTACAAGCCGAGGCAATATGGGATTTATAGGCTTGAAGGAGGCTGTACAATCATCTGGGCCCATCAAAATTAGGTAGAAAAAAACTAAGGTGAGACTCTAGAGGCATAGTCCTGCTCCAAGATGAGGAGTAAGCCCTAGGTACCAGGGTGACCCAAATAAGCTAAAAGAAGTCTGAGTTATACCTGTCATTCTGCTCATAAATGTTAAGACCTAGGGCATCCACCCCCAGCCACAACTCTGAGCCTTTTTTGTTCTTGATGCTGAAGTAGTTCACACCATACATCTCCAGATCTTGAGCAATCTTCAGATATTCCAGGACAGCATCCTCTCTAACAAAAACAGGGTAAAAGAGAAGATGTCATAGAGGGGAGCCTCTGAATCAGACTCAGGGAGATAGAAAAGTGTACATTCTTTTGTGTTTTTGACAAGGACCTTCCTATCAGAAACGGGAAAAGGGATGGAAGATAAGTAGATGATGGAAAAGAGCACACATGATTTTTGTCAAGCAAAATTTGCTGAAAGGAACCTCAGGTCTGAAGTGCTTAAGGGGAATAAGGGTGGGATGATCTCTGCTGACCTTTGGCATATTAGCTGCCATTGACACTATTTTCTCTCTGTCATTCACTGCAACAGTCTCTCATACATTCTGAGCAGAGCTTAGGCAGTGGGTGGTGAAAGCAAAATATCTGCTCCTCAGCTAGACTACCCTAAATGCTTTTTAATTTTTTTTATTTAAAAATAATAAAGGAGATTAAGATAAAGAGGACATAACAACACAGGTCAGAACAGAACAATTTAAGCAACACAATGTTTCACCACAAGATAACCTAACATAACAGTAGTTACCACAGTGTCTCTTTCCTTGAAATATTTGAGTATAACTTCGTATACTATAGCATCAAACATAACAAGACAGTGTAAAACCAATCAAAAGGATGAAAGTATTACAGGGTATCTAGAACCAACTAGCAGAAAACAAACAATGGTTTCTATATTATCTCCTTGTCTATAAAAAATTTTGTTTATACTATCACATATAATAAAATCCAAAAAGATACAACATGATAAAACCGATAGAGACAGAAGAACAAAAGCTTGATGGGACTTCAAAACAAGCTGATATTATATGATCACTAGATATTATGATGTCTGGTTTTCTTCAAAATAACTGTTCATACCATCACAGACAATAAAATCAAACACCTCAGAATAAAACCATTCCAATTAATAAATGAAAACATTATAAGGCTTCAAAACAATATAATGGGGAAATGTGATTACCACATACTTTTATGTATTCTTACCATTTCTTATACTAGGGAAACTATTCGGTATTTATACATTCAGTTTGATTTATTTCGCTTATAAGTATGGTCTCAAGCTGCGCCAATTTATTTAAAAATATCTCAATGTGATCATCCTTTATAGCGGAGTAGTACTCCATTGCATAAAAATATCATGACTTTTTTATCCATTCCTCAGTCGACGGACACTTAGGTTGTTTCCAAGATCTGGCTATTATAAATTGTGCTGTTATAAACATGGGTGCACATATATCACAGTGGCATGATGTTTTCAGTTTAAAGAGCTCTTTTCCTTCTTCATTTTTGGGAGAAGCCACTTGGTAGCACTGATGCTCTCTGGGGATCCAAAGTTCCCTCCATTTCTTTATGGTAAAAATTAGACTAATAGTTGTCATATTCACCAACACACACACACACACACACACACACACACACACACATTGGCTCAAGTTTGCTTTCTTTCTTTAAGTGCTTTATTGTCTCTCCTCCAATATCCAGTAATGTCCCTAATCATCTGCCTCTTTGCCACAGAACCTACTGTTATTCACTCTGCAAGGATAGTGGAGCCCACAGCTTCTGGGATTGGCTTACCTAAGCATACCACGGTGTTCTTCATGCCAGACTTGAATCCGCTCCTCCCACTGATCCTTGTTGAGTTTGTGTTGTTCCAGGACTCTGGAAAGATAATGCATAGTATTTAGTTTGAAGTACAAAGCCCATGTGCAGCAGGGAAGGAAGCCCATGTAATTCTCTAAAGAAGTTGATCTGAAAGTAGAGTTGTCTATCAAGGTCATACATGAAGTAGACTGAAATTACAGCAGAAGATATTAAATAAGGGATTTCCTAAGAGGTAGGAGAGCTATAGGTTATAGAAAACTGAGAAAGACAATAGGAATACCTTCCTGTGTTGCTTTAACTAGAAAATTCAATAATATCCTGTGGTCTCCAAGTACAACAGTGATTTATAAGGAATATGTGCTGATTTGAGGGGCAAAACGTCAGGCTGGCCCTCACAGAAACAGATAGAATCCTTTCTTAGATTTTGTTGAGAACAATGGTTTGTAAGAATATTGCTCAGGGATATGGGAGGACAGCTTTTGGCTACACAACAGAGAAATAAGCCCAAATGTCTTTGAGAGAAATTATAGGTCCAAACTCCAAATTCACTAGATCATAAAAGGGGCTTGCTTTTAACATGCCACCTCTGATATTATGACAACTCAAGGCATCCCAAGGCACAACTAGTATCCTTAATTCCTTCTGATAGACTGTACATATGACACAGATCCAATGGCACCAGGGATCCCAGAATGAGATTTCATTTTTTTTTTCTAATCCAAACGTCTATGGAAATGATATTTAGATGCTATAGAAAAGAACTAGTTTAAAAAAATAAGAAATTAGGTATTTCTGTATAGCTCTGCCCCAAATGAGCTATGGGAGATGGGGCAACTACTTTTCCATTTCCTAAAACAGGAAATAAGGATAATACCTGCCTTATTCATTTTATGTGTTGTGATACTAAAACAAAAATATAAGCAGAAATCACTGTATGCTGGTTACCAATATTAAAAGAGTAAAATTTCTGGCCTTTGTATGTCTCTTTCTCCCCTATGAAATTGAGAAATAAAGTTCTAAATCAGTGAAAGAGATTGAAAAAATGGAACTAGGGGAAAATGAATCTATGTCTGCTTTTATACAGGTACTTATCATTAAGATAATAAAGTTCAATAAAGGAGCATAATGTAAAAATAAAAGGCTTTTTATTTTGAGAGCCAGAGAAACAAGAGGGCATGATGATACATGCAGAGAAGCCACTCTAAGCAGCATAACACAGTCTTTAGGCAGACCATAGTGAATAGGAAAAGATCCTGCAGCTCCTGTGGAACAAGTATTAGTCCTTCTTGAGTTGCAGTTCCCTTTAGCAAGAGCAAAGAGACTAGGGTGTCACCTTACCTTTGGGGCAGCAACTTGTCTCCAGCCAGGTAGCCAGACTTATGCACCTCCTTGTTGAAGTCACCATACTTGGACTGAACAGCATAAGAGGCCAGTAGCACAGCAGTTTCAGGTGGGCAATAAATGTCATCATTGAGAATACCTTCCTTCACTTGAAGAAAGAACAGGCGCTGGGTGATATCCTGGATTAATTCTTCTGATACATCTTCAGGATAGAATTTGGCTCGGAACTTAAAGAGCAGTGGGCTTTCCTTTCGCACATCCTGTGCAGTCACCTAGGATCAGCAAGGGGTTATAATCTCTAAAAAACAGGATTTAGTGGTGGGGGAATGACTGTAGCTTAAGGAGAAGATACTGAAAGATCATTAGTTTGAGTAATCTTACAAAGCTAGGTGGGAATCTTAATTTAAAAAAGAGACATTACTTTCATTGGAGACCCTTCCCAGTCTCATGTCCATGTTGAACTTAATGATTGTTAACCTTTGTGTCTGGATGTCCCCCAAAGCCTCATGTAGCCATGGGGTCAGGCTTCTAGAGTCTGTGATTTATTCACGATCCAATGCTGGCATTATGGGTGTGAGTGCTACACTCAAACTAGGGTGGGGAGCCTACATACAATATAAGGGAGTGAAAGAGTCTTTGTTCACTCACTGTCCTCCCATTTTGCTTTTGCTGCTTTTTCTGTCTTCTGCTGCCATGAATTGTTGCCCTCTGCCATGAGCTACCCTGCCTCAGACCCAGAAGATTATGTACTGAAACCTCCATGATCTGTGAGTGAATAAACCTTTCCTTTCTTCATTTTAGATGCCAGGTATTTTGTCTCAGCAATGAGTGATAAGTAACCAACACAATGATTAAAAATCCTTAAGTAACCACTTTCTGATAATATACCCAATTGTCCTCAAATTTTAACAGTACATGTAAGAAAGCTGTTCTTTCAAGGATCCTCCAACTCCATAAAGCAGTGAAGATAAGACTGTAAACTATGCTTAGGGCCACAGAATTGGCAGGCAAAGACACAAACTAGATAATCTCTTACTGGTTTTTAAATTCTTGTTTCTTAAAGATAACATCTCAATATGTAGTCCAAACCAGCCTTGAACTCCCTATGCAGCCCAGGTATTGTCCTCAAGTTCATAATCTCCCTCCCTCAACTTCCTGACTGCTAGAACTATAGGCAAATGCTACCATGCCAGACAAAACTAGATCACCTTTTAAGGCATGAAATTGGCTCCTAATGGCTTTGTAGCTGACTAGAAAATGTCTCAACTCCTTGAGAAAAACAAGACTCTACCAGCAGAAAGTGGGATATCCACTTCCCAGAGGCAATTAAGGAAACAATCCACAGCACAGCACAGAGACCTCCAAGAATGAAATCAGCTGGTTTGAGGATACTTACATGAGGGATTGACAGGTTTTTGCAGAGATACTAATTGGGGAAGAAAGCCTGATTGTACTCAAACCATCCCGGTTGTAATCTAGTTGAAGCAGAAGATCAAGAAAGAAGGAAGCATGTGTATGTGGTCAGGCAGTAGTGTTCCAGTGAGAGAAGATTAGCATAAGACTGTGAGATCTTTACAATTTTCTCCAGTACAAAACAGTCTGAGGTTCTGTTTTAACAGTTCTCCCACAGCCTTTGAGTTTGAAATCAAGAAAAGGATGCCAATCCTCTCTCAAAGAACCACTAATGGCTTTACGTTTTTTTTAAGTCAAAATTAAAGACAGAGATCCTAGTGGGAAGAAAAAGTGTGCTCTTTCTTAGATGCAACTATTCTCATTGTCAGAAGTCAAAGTGGAGACAGAATAAAAGCTTTGCCTTGCTTGAGTCCTCTACCAATATTCTGATCCAGGTGGTTAGCAGACCACCCAGTGACACACACAGGCCTAAGTAACCTGGGCTTGCTAGCTAGCATACATTATCCCCCTAAACAAGTTCTGACAGAGGCAAGCATTCCAAACCTGACAGAGGAGTAAACAGTTACCTTCTTATTGAGTTTCAGCCAAGTGGAGAAACCCTTGGTGTCCTGGTACTGCAGACCAAAGAACCAAACTTCCCTCAGGCCAATAGTTTTCACCACCTGGAAGAGAAAATACAAATATTATATTTGGTTGAATATCTACCCTGTGCTAGGCAGAAGACACAAAAGTGGAGCCAACCTTGCCTCTGACCTTAAAGGGCTTAAGATATTCATGTCAGAAAAAATACATTTGAACAGCAGTCAAGAATCAATATCAGCACCTCTGTACCAAAGTACTATTGCTGAAGTAAAAAAATGATCTATTATGTATTAACAATTCACACAGCAAGAATCTTACATCCATTATCTTCTTTAATTTGCATAACAGCACTATGATATACATCAATTAGGCCCATTTCACAGATAGTAACATTTTAGAGAATTGAAATGATTTGCCTGAGCTTTCAGTAATGAGTGGCAGGATTCAAACCAGTCTGTTTAACTCCAAATCCATTCAAGTCCAGTGAACTTTCTATCACTTCCCCCTTCCTTCTGCTACACCATGTAGCTCTCTACTCCCAGAATAGGTTAAAAAAGTGTGTTTAGGGGTGTTAAATACCTGACTATATTAATGTTTTTGGATCATTGAACATAGCTGTTTGCAGTCTCTCTGTTTGAATGTCCACTTTGTATTCTTTGATACTGTGATTTGAGCAACTATTTCTAAGATGATAATACGTAATCTATTAACAGGTGATTTCTTACTGTTTTTTTTTTTGTAGTTCTGTATTACGTGTACCCTTACACCGCTTTGTTTGTTTGGTGTTTTTCTCTTTTTCCTTTTAAATAAAATAAAAAAAAATTTAAGGCAGAGATTGTTGGGGTAACTCTTGCATTTTATTTTCCTGGGTTATTCCCATATATTGTCCTTTACCTTTTCTTATGTTTACCCATTCATCTGCAAATATCTCTTTTTTCTTTGGTACCAGGAATTGAACTCATGACCTCGTGCTTGCTAGGCAGGCACTTATGCCATTGAGCTAAATCTCCAGCTATTTACCCATTTACTATAAAGGGTGTTTAGGATACAAATGAACAACCAGATGGAAGAAATGCAAAGAGTGTATTATTGGAGGAGTAAAGAGCTTCTACATCCTCCAGCACATCACCCTCTGGAACACCACACGATTATTTATCCAGGGGCTCCCCAAATCACATCCTTTGAATTTTTGTGAAGGATTTATCATGTGGACATAAATGACATAAATTAATAGAAACTTCAGACTCTGTTGTTCCTTATTTTTAGCAACTGGGAATAATGTCTGCAACTTTAAGATTGATTCCCATCTATAATACCCAAGAAAGTGTGGCTATATATATATATATATATATATATATATATACTGAAGCTCTACTGTCCTTAAGTTTTACAATACTTTTTCCAGTCCTAGAAAGAGCCCAGTCATGATTATCCTCACATAGACTGAAGATGAAAACAAGGTAGATACCTCACTATAGTAGTCTTTGCTAAACAGTGGTCAAGAATGAGAAGCCTGCCAGGAAAAGACAGATGGAGATTGTTCTCCAGTTTCAGGTACTAGCATGTTAATAGTCTGATTGTCACCTCAACTCCTGCAAGCCCACAACCAGAGATTGAGACAGGAAAGCTAAGCCACATCCTAATGAGGTCAGCCTGTCATCAAGCAGTCTTATTTATCTTTTCTTTGTGTTGGGGTGGAAATATGGGTTTAGAGCATAGTGAATAAGGAATCTAAGATACAGAGATATCTAAATGGCCAATATCTGGGGTTATAGTTCAGCAGTACAGTACCTGCCTGGCAAGCAAAACATCTTGAGTTTGATTCCCGGTATTTTAAAAAAGGGGGAAAAGGAATCTACTATTATCTCTTCTCCAAATGGCCAATAAATACATGAAAAATTGTTAAGCATCCTAAGCCATTCGATAAATGAAAATTGAAAGAACATTGAGATTCCATCTTATCCTGAAACAATGGCTATCATCAAGAAATTACATACTGATAATAAGTAATGCTGGAGAGGCTACAGGAAACAGGAACTTTTCTACATTGCTGGTATGAATGTAAACCAGTACAACCACTATGGACATCATTATGGCAATTCCTCAAAAAGACAAAATTAGAAATTCAATTTGACGCAGCTATTTCCTTTCTAGGTATCTTCCAAAAAGAGTTAAAGACATCATATTATAGTGATACATCCATATCCAAGTTTATAGCATCACAATTCATAATAGCTAAATATTGGAAGTGCCCTAAAATTCCATTGACAGATTAATAAAGAAAATGTTGTATTTAGAAATAATGGAGTAGTACTCTGGACATAAAAAGGATAAGTTTGAGTCTATGTAGGAAAATGGCTATACCTTGAGACCATAATGTTAATTAAAATAAATCAGACCTATAAGCACTAATATCACAATTTTTCTTATATGAGAAGCCCAAAATACAGAGACCAAAGTAAAAGACAGATATCACAAAATATGAAGATAGATCTTTTGCAAAATGGAAGGGGACCAAGAGATGATGAGAGGGAGGAGGGTGGGGAGGGGAAGGAGATAAGAAAAAAATCAAGATGTTAGGTACATGTACCAACTCCTCACAAGGAATATAACCATTACATACTGCAAATATATACAAATATATACAAATAAAAAGTAAAAATTAAAAAAGAAAAAGAAGTTTTTAAACATGTTTCCACCAGCATGAACCAACACCAAGCATGCACAAACTTCCCATGGCACCCCACAGGATAGTCATGCATTTACCACAGGCAGTTCAAGACAGGAGGAATATAACATGCTCAAATCAGGACTGTCTGGCAGTGAGACATATGAATTATGGTATTGTCGTGAATGTGTTGAAAGTATTTTTTTTATCTAATCTAAACGTATATTAGTCCAAATTAACAAGTTCTATCCAATTTCCACAGAGCTGCAGAAGACTAAGTGTAGGGGCTGGGGATTTAGCTCAGTGGCATAAGCACCTGCCTTGCAAGCAGGCAGTCGTGAGTTCGATCCCTGGTACCGATAAAAAAAAAAAAAAAAAAAAAAGAAGACTAAGTGTATAGATGCAACTGGTGAAAAGAAGCAAGTTCCAAGGAACAATTTAGTCTCAAGAAAAAAAATATTCATTGCAGATTCTGAAGACAGGATGGACCTTCAGAACTAAGATATTAGATTATGGCTTAATGCAGCAAAGTAAGAACAGATCAGTAGAGTAACACTTGCCTTTGCCTATAGCAATGGGCCAGTTGTAGTTTCAAAAGATGCTAGGACTGAAGGTAAGTAAGGCAGACTACACAATTTTTTGAAGATAGCAGGAATGAGTTTCTTATCTTCTTTTTGTGCTATGTTGCCTGTTTTGCTAGCAGAATGGATAGGGTGTGATAAGAAGAGGAGGATTCATGGGAGTCAGAGTAACTCTATGAAGTTAAAGTAACAGCTAAAACACTGTCAAAAACAAATGTTTCAGGGTCACTGGGGAATTTTGCTATCTCTGAGCAATGCCTATTCCTTTGTGAAGATAGAAAACTCAGAAACACATATGTTTTACTTCTTTAGGATCGAGGGATTGCAGACATGAGCACTATTACTAATGTTCCAAAGTAACGAAACAAGAATACAGGAGGTCAAGTATATGCACTGAAGTGATAATTGAGACAGAAAAAGAAAGCACGCAGAATAAAGCACATGATCCTTTCCTTTCCTATAAGGAAATTTCCAATTAAGGTCCATGGGATGTCAAGAACCGTTTGATTAGGCAAGTCTTGGGTTCATTTCCAATTCCCAATTGCAAACGAGGACAAATTTTGCTTGCTTCAGGCTTTGCTTCCAACTGATACCTCTACTCCATAGGCTAGGGTAGGGGCTTCATTTTCAAGTGAGAGATCATCATCTAGCTTCTACTTCAGGAAAAACCTCTGTGGATCCAGTAACTAGAATTCTTATCATTTGACTCTTAAGAAATGCTCTATCCCTGAGAAAAAATTCTTTCTTGATTCCCTTTGGCCCCAGATAGCCAGATCATCTAATCTGAACCAGTATTTCCTCAAAGGTTGCATGGAAGAAATCTTTAAACAGCAGAAAATATGGAATGTAAAATATGGAATGTATATATCTGGGGGATTCCAAGTTTTGTGGAATAGGGATATAAAAGTAGGAGGATAAATGGCTGGATGCAAGCCAGTCAGAATTTCTTTGAAGCATTAATAATTTGTGAAAATTTTATAATCTACTCCTTACACGATGACATTTTTATTGTAATAGATAAAATTCTTACTCAAAGATACATGTTAAATCACATTTATCCCAAAGATTTTGTCCCTCCTAGAATCTGCCAGAACTAGGATTTTATTTTGTAAGATATTGGCTTAAGAAACTGGAAACTGTGGACTCTAATTAGCCCCAGAACACAAATTTCCAACACAGAGTGTGGAGAGTTAATAATGTTAAAGCAGCATAAAATGAAAACCTGAAGTCCAATGAGCAGAAGAGATCTGCTTCTGAAAAAATCCTTACTGATAACCAGGAACTTCTGGGTATAATAAAGAATCCCATTTACCTCTTCTTCAACTGTGCAGTGCCTAAGCCTAAGGTCTGGCAGAGGGGTCAGTAGTAGAGCCATGATCCCCTATCCTTGAATCCCTCATTCATCTATCTGCACAAACAAGTGACATCATCAGCCACAACAAAACCCTAGCTCAGGATCAGGAAGCAGAGCTGAAATCTCAAGAGAAGAATTGTATAAGAAATTTTGCATAAAAATATGTCAATGCCCAAACATCTGAGGCTCCACTGAGATCTCTTTCAGGATTCACAGTGGCTGCATCAAACACCTCTCTGAAAATAAGTCAATGCACAAGTGGAAAGTTACAAGAGAAAATAACACCATTGCTGCTTTTGCTATTCTACTGCCTATATTCTAGTCAGTAGAACCTGCTATACAGTAGAGAACACACTCAGCTAGAGTTCTGAGTTTTGAAAACAGGCAAAAGAAGTCTCAGGGGACACAGCTGACAAAAGGCACTGGGAAAACTGGAAATACTATCCTTCCTGGTTCAGGTGCCACTCACACCACTTC